AAATCCATTGATCAACTTTTATTCTCCATAGTTTTTTCATATTTAACAGTAGCTGACTTTTTCTTTACACCCCTGTTTGCTATGCACAGTCCACGCCAAAGATTAAGGGTATGTCCAAAAAGGAAGGAGCCAAGCGTAAGATCAACATGAGTGGCTACATCCTGTTTAGCAGTGAAGTGAGGGCTATTATTAAGGCTCGTCACCCTGATTTCTCCTTTGGAGAGCTAAGCCGACTGGTGGGCACAGAATGGAGGAACCTGGAAGCTTCTAAGAAGGCGGAATATGAAGGTACGTTCTCAACCCTTCCTGAGAAGTTGCTCTAGCCCTGATTACTTTAGTTCACCTCACATGATCCAAGATGTTGGTGAGCTTGTTTCTTCATTGGAACAGATTTGGAGAAATTTAGTATTATATCACTTGCTCACCTATGGATCCTTTGCAGTGAATGGGTGCCGTCAGAATGAGAGTTCAAACATCTGATAAAAGCATCACAATAATCCACACCACTCCAGTCCATCAATTAACATATTTTGAAGTGAAAAGCGGCATGTTTATAATAAACAAATGCATCATTAAGATGTCTCTAACTTCAAACCATTGCTTCTGGCTAAAATACAAGTCCACTATCCATTACATTGCTTTCTCGCACAGGTCAAGCACCATTTACGAGTGAAAATAGTCCAAAACGGTTCTAACCAAATATGTCCATGGATTTTGATATGAGAGGAAAATAGGGGATGGACTCTTTCACTGGAGGAAGCATTATTATAGTATTTTGACTGGAAGTGATGGTTTGAATGCCTTAAAATGCCTTAATGATGGATTTGTTACTTGCGCACACACACACAGATTTTCACTTCACAAGACCGTAAATGATGTTGATTTGTTGTTGATTACTTGTGAATTACTGTGATGATCAAGTGTTTGAACTCTATGGCACCTGTTGCTAAATTTATTCAAATCGAAAAGAAGTATTAGTATTAGTACATTTTCAGCAAATATTCACTTCAAGGTAAAATATTCCATTATGATAAATATCCAGTCATATCTCAATAAAGCAAGACATTTTTACAAGACACTGTTATGAATACAACCAATTAAGTCACAAGATAAGAGATGCATTTGGGATCTCACATCTGAATGTTTGCATGTCTGCAGCGGAGATTATTTGTCCTCCTTAAGAATAGCCAGCAGTTCATTTTCCCCATAGAAATGAATAACAGTGGTAACCAGGATTAGTTTTCCTCCATGTACAACACATTATTTCTGTATAGAAAATGTTTTTCTTATTCACAGTGTTGCTTAATACAACCACATGCCGAAGAGCCTCAATTCAGTTATCAATGTTTTTACAGAACGGGCAGCTAAACTGGTAGAGCAGCAGGAACGGGAGAGGGTCCTTCAGCAGCAGCAACAGCAGCAGCAGGCTTCCCCAAGAGCAGGTACCCCAGTCGGCTCAATGATGGGGGTGGTGCCTCCCCCAAGCGCTATGGGGATGCTAAACCAGGCCATGCCACCTGTACCAGGTAACGCCAAATCGCCCCCACCCTTGCTGAAAGAGACAGATGCAGCATCCGGGCACCCTCCGACAGTTCTCATCTATTTAAACCATCTGAAACCTCAACTCATCAATCATGTCTCTATCTTCCCCGTACCAAAAGTGTGCCCCATTAGTGACTATTCAGTTCATTTCACTAAATGCCTTTTGTTTGTATGCAAACTTTTTGGTTTTGTTTTTGAATATTGCCACACACTTTTCTTTTTGCATGAGGACGTTTTTTATTAACCCATTAATATTTAGAGCTCTTTTTTTTTTTTTTACTACACGCCTGGATTAACCACATTTTAAAATTTACACTTTCTTTGACATTGATATGACTTGTTATTTTGTAGTTGCATGACTTGTTAGACAACTGCATGTCATCAATGCATGGATCTTTTTGTGCTATCTCCTCCTCACCCAAGGCATAATGGGAAATTATGGCCTGCCCTACATGCCTATGCAGGGTCCTTCTGAGGGCATGATGGGCATGGGTGGCACACCACCTCATCCCATGGGGGTGCCCCAGCTGCCTTCCCAGCACTACCTTCTACCAGGCATGGCCGGGTACCCTGGTATGCCCCATCCGGGTAAGAAGCACCCCGATTAGACAGAAACCCCACCTGAATATCTTCTGACCAGCTCCAATCCAAAAAAAATCTTTTTTTTTTTTCTCTCCTTTCTCTCGGTTTGAAATCATGGCCTTTGTTCCAAAAACTAGTGAGCTGCCTGGACAGCAAGGCAGCTTTATATGGTTTTGAAACAGAGCTGATTGTTTGTACATTATTTTAGTGAATGAAGAAATGCTTTTTATAACTAGATAATATCTGTATTTCTGCATGGTCTAATTTTAGTTGTATCTAATTCATAGGGTGGGAATATTCACACAACACTAACATGCTTTTTTTCTCAATATCTCACCTCACACTTTCTTAATCTATTTTCTACACATGATTTGCATTTCCACTGACTGACTTCACGGAATCATTGTTTTATAAAAACACCACTTGCTTGGGGAAAATGTAACACACATTTATGTAAACAATATTTATTTATTCAGTCGGTGCACATTATTTGCAACCTTATCTGTTGGAGTTGAGATTTAAACTGTTTTTGCTTTCCTACTCAGGTGTGATGGGCCCAGGAATGAACGGCATGGCTGGAAGTCCTGGTCCTGGAAACCATTATGGCATGCAGGTGAAGAACATGTTCATGCAGCTTTCAGTGGTGACGCTAAAGCAGATGCAGATTGTCATCTCTGTCTTTACTTTGTGTTCTCAGATGGGTGGATATGGGCCAGGACAGCAAGCTCCACCACCATATCCAGGTCAAGGTCAACCAGGCCAGCAGCAGCCAACCCCGCCTATTTTTGTGGCCCCGCCTCCAAAACCTCAGCGTCTTCTGCATTCAGAAGCTTATTTGAAGTACATTGAGGGCCTGAGTGCAGAATCCTCCACTATTAGCAAGTGGGACCAGAGCCTTAAGGGTAAAGATGATTTGCATGCAAATTGCATATGAGAGTTGTTTTATGTATTCCTTTTTAAGTTCTATACAGTTACAGTAATGTTCAGAAGTTTGAGGTCAGTTAGGTTTATCTTAATTTGACCAAAATTAATACTTTTATTCAGCAAGTATGCACTAGATTGATCAAAAGTGACAGTAAAGACATGTATAAGAATATAAAAATTTCTTTAAGAATATTTAAGATTTCTGTTTCAAATGAATGCTGTTCTTTTGAATGTTTTATGGTTTTTATGAAAATATTAAACAGCACAGCTGTTTTCAACATTGATGATAGTAAGAAATTTTTCTTGAGAACAAAGTCACCATATTAGAATGATTTCTGAAGGATCATGTGACACTGGAGGCTAAAGTAATGGCTGCTGAGAATTTAGCTTTGCCTTCAGATTAACAAATTACATTTTAAAATGTTGAATTAGAAAATGGTTGTTTTAAATTGCAATAATATTTCACAGTATTACTGTTTTTACTGTATGTTTGATCAAATAAATGCAGCCTTGGTGAATTAAGAGACTTCTTTCAAAAACATTTAAATATGTTACAGACACCAAACTTTTGAAAAGTAGTATATACTAAATAATTGCAAATTTATTTTTATTGTTAAAGCAAGTGTTTTATGATATTTGCTTATAAAACACTTCTGTAGCATTTGTACTTTAAATGCTACGCACACACACATATATATATATATATATATATATATATATGGTACATGGTGTCTTGCACCAAAAACATTCATAATTTAGTAATTTAAAGGATTGTTTTCATAAAAATGGCTGCACCATTAAGTCTTCTGTATGTAAATGACTTCTGTGATGTTACAGCCAAAACATCTCTGAATGACCCATTTTTGCTGCTCCGTTTTAGTGGCCTTGTCCCAAATGATGCATGTTTTAAAAAGGTTTTCTTTCTTATTTTCATTCCTTCAGCGCAAAGAAAAGACTGTCGGCTCACCAGGGAGCAGGAGAGCCGTCTCCCTACTCACTGGCTGAAAAGCAAGGGCGCTCACACCACGATGGCCGACGCATTATGGCGACTCCGAGATCTGATGATGAACGACACGCTCAATATCCGACAGTCGTACAACCTTTAATCCTTTGTTTTATCCCCAACTCTCAGGACTCTAATTTATGCAAGCCTTCTCCTACCAAATCTTTCCTATCACAATGTGATAAAGTATTATGTACTGTCGGAAATGCTTCAGCAATAATCTTCTAGTTGTGTGTGTATATGTGTGTGTGTGAGAAATAAAAGTTTTAGCCACATTTAGGTACATATGACGCACTGGAATTAAGTCACTCATGCATCAATTTATAACTACTGACATGGATTTGAAATATGTCACTTTGACTGTTACTTTAAATGAATTTTGGTTGCGTTTATGATGTTGAACCACATCATTTTATATTGCTGAAAACATCACCAATCCTCACAAAGTTCTCTGGCTATGGCCACTCTAGGCTTCAAAAGTTGTAAAAGAACACAGTAGCAGTTTACAAATATATTTTCTTTTTTATACAGAGTCAAAATAAGCTGATAAGTTCCTCTTTATTTTAATGATAATGTAATTTTATTTTTTCATTGTGTACCTCAAAAAAAAAAAAAAAAAGCCTGTGAGAAATGCTAGAACACAGTTGCATTAAGAATGACAAAATTGTCTCAATTTCACCAATAAACAGCATTTCAAATGAATAAAGTATGCTTCAAGTATGTCCAAAACATGTTTGTGAGAGGATTGGGTTACCAACCCCTCCACCCACCACACCACTGTAACATAAGGCCCGCCTAACCACGCCACAAACCTCTGCAGATGCAGATTATGTATAAATACGACTAATTAAAAAGCTGAATTGTAATTTAATGTAGGAATCGATTATTAAAAACCCATTTTTTTCATAATTTTTACCCCACTAATGACTGGCGTGATGTCATTTCCTGGTAGGGGCGGAAAATATCGGTCTATTCTCTTTAGTGTTTGCCCTGTCTACACTCACCCTCTCTACCTCTTCCCGTATTTTCATACTAAACCAGTCCAGAACCCCTTAAAACGGGACGAAACCGAACAGACACTACACGTGAACATCGTAACTCATGGAGTAAATCACAAACGGAGAGAAATAAACGGAGGTGAGCTTTATTCAGCCGGCTTTTGTGGAGATGCGCGAGCTGCTAGTGTGTTAGCTCGAGCCATTCATATTGATCTCAATGGATTTTATCGCATATTGTCATAGCGGCTTTTCACGAAAAACACACGTAACATTATAGAAACTGGGCCGATTTGTTAACGCCATGCTTTTTATATTTATAGCTCTAGTATGTGTATATCGCTGGCTTTGATACTTGTGTAAGGCTAGGAGGAGTCTTGACAGCTGATATTTATTTTTCTGTCCATATTTCCAGCTTGTGCGTTCGTTTTTTTCTTTTAAATGTAAAAAAAAAATCAGTTGACAGTGCATGCTGAAATGCAGTAGGTCAGATCATATTGTACATACTAATTATGTTCAAACTGTGCTAATGTTAGTTTGTAAGATAATCGGTTTAAACTAAATGACACTGCCTGACGTTTCAAGTTTTTTGCAAGGACGATGTCTTTTGATCTTGTGCTGTTAAACAGGTTTCCAGGAATTGTCAGCCAATAAGAGCTTGATGCCATGTTACTGTAATATGATGTTTTTCCATTTTGACATTTGGCATCATTACATTAACCCCATAAATCCTGTAGGCTTGATCAATTTTAAGGCTTTTGAATTCTCGAAATGATCAAAACCTTAATGCCTTAAGTCGCCTGATTGACACTTGAATTTTTTAGCAAGTAAAAGGCTCTTAGTATAAACATGTCCACCTTTAGTTCGTGGTACACGGTCTGTCGTTAATAATTTTTATTATCTAAACGTAAGAATAACTTTTTATATTCTTAGTAATATTTCAAGACGACAATTTACTGGACTAAAGCAACTTAAGTTTACTTGATTATCCATGCATAATTGTTTTTAGGAAAATTCAATTAAAATGTTCCATCATGATTTTGAGGAAAAAAACATTTTATTTGTACATCTCTCAATCGTCATTGTATTACATTGCATTATAGGTTCTGCCCACCACAATAAAAACTGCAGAGCTTTGATTAGCTTTTAATATGATCTTAATGAGACACATTATTGGGAGATAATTACAATCCTTTGAATTTTTCCTCTCTTGCAGGTAAAGCTTTGCAGTCGTCCTTCATTCTACAAACCCTCACTGTATCGCTCTCTCTTTCATACAACCCTTCTTCGTGAAGTTCTCTTCCTACCTGACTGCAAAGTCTATACCTGGTCATTCAAACAACCCACCTTCCTACCAGCCAATCAGAATGTCACAGCTTCAGTTCCAGGCACCTGGCAACCCTGCGCCCAGTGCTGCCCCTTTACAGCTGGCCCCACCCCAACTCGGGTTCAGCATTCCCTGCGCCGCTGCTCCTTTACCCTCGGAGAGTGCCAGTCACCCGCTCCGAAACTCCGCCCTGCCTTCCGCCTCCGCCACGCCCTTCTGCAACCCCACAGGTGGGTGATGCATTATATAGGACTTGACAGTTTGTACATTTTAAATATTCAATTATGCCCAGGCCCATATAGAAATCTCATGGAAAATTTTTAACATTTCAATTCAGCAATAAAATCTGACAACAGTGGTATAAAATTTACCTTTTTATCTCAGAACATGCTGAAAATATATACACTACCATTCAAAATGTGTAGTCTGTAAGATTTGTTTTATTTTTGAAAGAAAGTAATATTTTTATTCAGCAAGAATGCATAACATTTATAAAATTTGACTAATACAAAAGATGGTTACACTTTATTTTAAGGTGTCCTTGTTACAGTGTAATTATACATTTAAGTACTGAGTAATATTAATTAACTACACGTACTTACTATATGGTTAGGATTAGGGTTTGGCTTAAGGTTACTTGCATGTAATTATGCATAATTTATTGATATTATAATAGTAAGTACATGTAACGTGTAACAAGGTCACCAGTGTTACCCAAAAATTTATATTTTAAATAAATACTCTTTTTCTGTTCACCAAAAATATTAAGCAGCACAGCTGTTTTTAATATCAATTACAAAATTGACAATAAAATCTGATAACAGTGGTATAAAAATTGTCTTTTTTTTTATCTCAAACATGCTGAAAAAAAAGAATGCTACTGTTAAAAAGTTTTTTTTTTTAATAAATGTTTTTTTCAGCTAGGATGCATATTATTAATCAAACGTTGCAGTAAAGATATTGATAATATTACAAAATATTTATATTTTAAATAAATGCTGTTCTTTGTAACTTAATGTTCACCAAAATATTAAGCAGCACAACTGTTATCAACATTGATGGTAATAAGAAATGTTTCTTGAGCAGCAAATCAGCATATTAGAATGATTTCTGAAGGATCGTGTGACACTGAAGACTGGAGTAATGACTGCTAAAAAAAATTCATCTTTGCCATCAGAGGAATAAATTACATTTTAAAATATATTAAAATAGAATATAGTTCTTTTAAATTGTAATAATATTTCACACTGTTACTGTTTAATGTATTTTTATCAAATAAATGCAGCCTTGGTGAGCATAAAAGACTTTTCAAAAGCATTAAAAAAAAAAATTTACTGACCCTAAACTTTTGAATAATCTGGGCCTGGTTTTGCCCTAATAACAAAAAATATTTCTCTGAGTTTTAAAATGTTTCCTTCTTGATTTCATCTTTTAATGTTGTCCTCTAGTATCTAACATGGCAAACCCTAAAGAGAAGACCCCTATGTGTTTGGTAAACGAGTTAGCCCGTTACAATAAGATCCAACCTGAATACAAGCTACTCAGTGAACAAGGACCAGCCCACTCCAAGGTAAGACTTGGAGGTTTGTTTTATACACAAACGCACACAACTGTCTCTTCCCGCCTGCCTGAACTTTCTGATGTTGTGTGTTCAGATTTTCTCAGTGCGGTTAACTCTGGGGGATCAGCACTGGGATGCAGAGGGGACCAGTATCAAAAAAGCCCAGCACTCAGCAGCAACATGTGCTCTCGCCCAAACCACTCTCCCCAAACCCAGTCACAGAAGCCCCCGCCACCCAGGTGGGATCTACAAGGGCTCAGAGTGTACGTCCAATTTTTCCCTTTATCTTATTAATAATAAAAAAAAAAACCTTCTCATCCCCACATTATCAAAACTGAATTGTATGAAAGCTTGTTTCCACCACAGAATAAAAAAATTAAAAAAGGTAATCTGTTTTTTCTGATAACTGACTATATCAGTGTATATCTGTTATCAGTTGCAATTCTGACTTTTCTGCAATTGCAAGGACAAAAGTTAGAATTGTGAGAGATAAACTTGCAATTGTAAGAAAAATGCCAGAATTGTGAAATAAAAACACAATTACCTTTTTTATTTATTTTTTATTCAGTGGCAGAACCTGGATTCTATAGAATAGGGCGGTTGAACCCTAAAAAGGCAAAAAAAAAAAAAATTTGTCAAAGAAGTCTGTATGCTGTAGAGAAGGAGTAACTAGTGTCATGCAGAGTTGAGCCCTAATCAAACACACCTGAACCATCTTAACAAAGATGTTCAGGATTACTTGAAAATTACAGGCAGGTGTGTTGGAGCAGGGTTGGAACTGAACTGTCCAGAAACAGCATTTGCTTCATCTGCTTTTAAAACTTTAAATGTGCAGTCACATGAGTTACTTTCATACATGGTGAGTAGTTGATACTAGATTTTTAAATTTTGGGTGAACTGTTCCTTTAAATTTAAAAATAAACATCATCTTTCCACCTATTTTAACTTTGAGTACATCCATTGGGGTTCATTTGTCTTTATGATGTAGTGTACAGTATATCATAGTTTGTTTGTTTTTTTGCATTTACAGTACCATTCAAACGCTTGGTAAAAAGAAATTAATATTTTTATTCAGCAAGGACATGTTAAATTGATCAGAAGTGATGGTAAAGACGGTTACAGAGGATTTTAGGTTATGCTTTACATTAAGTTTTCACTTGTTAACTTTAGTAAATTCATTAGTTAACATGAATTAACAATGAAAAATACTTTAAAAAGCATTAATCAATGTTAATTTGAACATTTACTTATGCGTGATTAAAATCAAAAGGTGTACATGTTAATATTATTTAATGTACTCGAGCTAAAATGAACTAACAATGATCAGTTGTGTTTTTATTAACTAACAGAGGTTAATAAATACAAATGTTTTGCTCACTGCAATAACATTGATAATAGGAAATGTTTCTTGAGCGCCAAATCAGCATATTAGACTGATTTCTGAAGAGTCATGTGACTGACTACGTTTACATGGACATCAGTAATCTAATTATTTACCTTATTCTAAATCATTTGCTGTCAAATGGTTGAGCACTGCGGTGTGTGTATCCTGTCGCAAAATGCGGCGAAAAGTCCTACACGATGATGGTAATAATGTGATTAAGGTGTTTACATGTCTATACTGCACTTCATTAATGCGACTAAAATAGGAATACTCCACACGTCTTAATTCGAATAGTGTTTACTTCGATTATGAATTTAGTCGGATTAAGGTAAGCAAAAATCTCTGTTTACATGGTAGATTCTTAATCAGAGTATTGTCTTAATCGTATTAAAATCTGAGTGTTGTTGTCCATGTAAACGTACTGACTGAAGACTGGAGTAAAGGAGCTGAAAATTCAGCTTTTCATCGCAGGAATAAATTACATATTAAAGTAGAAAAAGGCTACTTTAAACTGCAGTAATATTTTACAATATTAATCTGTTTACAGTAATGGGTTAAACCTCATGAATGTTAGCTGTGCAGTCAGCTGTTTGACATGTTTCTCTCTCATGCAGATAATGTAACCCACACTGTGGAGCTTAATGCACTTTGTATGAAGTTGGGCAAGAAGCCCATCTACAAACCTATAGATGCCTACCAGGGGATGAGACCAGCATTCAACTACAACATCAGAGCACCAGGCCCTTATGCACGCTCCATGCAGCAGTATGCACTCTCTCTTTTAATCTATAATTGAGATTTTGGCTTATGATATATACTCTCATATATGAGAGTGACTAAATGTAATGGATTATATTATATACTGTTTTGCTTTTCTTCTCTTGATCAGTTATTACTACCCATTTCCTCCTGTGGGGCCAGTACTGTATCATATGGAGCTGTCTATCGGTGGACAACAATTCCACGGCAAGGGCCGCACGCGTCAAGCAGCCAAACATGACGCTGCGGCTAAAGCTATCAAATATCTGCAGAACGAGCCAATAATGCAGCAACTTGCTGAGGTGAGAGTTCATACTACTAACGTGATGAATGGGCTATCAGTTGATTCAATCTTGAACTTAGTCTAGAAAATACAAGCAAAATACATTGATCTAATCTGTATTATTAAATCGTGACTGAAAATACATGTCATGTTCATCCTGTAGATGAACGAAGAGCCAGTACAAGAAAACCTTAACAAATCAGAGATCAGCCAAGTGTTTGAGATTGCACTGAAACGCAGCATGCCTGTGAATTTCGAGGTATTTCGTGATCCCATCATGCATAGGTTACAAGTATATAGAAATGCACGTTATAATTAAGCAAAATTTCTTGATCATGCAGATAGAACAATTGTTGACTTTTCTTTAACTTTCCTCACTATATACAGGTGCTAAAAGAGACTGGGCCTCCCCACATGAAGAGTTTTGTGGTGAGGGTAACTGTGGGCGAGTTTTCAGGGGAGGGTGAAGGCAAAAGCAAGAAGATCGCCAAGAAACTAGCTGCCATCGCGGTCCTGGAGGAGCTCCGCAAACTGCCTCAACTACCTGTCACTGACATGATACCACTACGTATTAAAAAGAAAAGCAAGTCCATTATTAAGGTAGAAGATGACTTCGACTGGCTGGGTTAGTTTGATGGCTAGAGTGTTATGCTGATTCAAAAACTCAGAAACTTTGCTAATAATAGTTCAGCCTGGGAAATTAATCATCTTTTTTAGTGATTGCGTTCATTAAATCTCATTTAGCGATTACATAATTGTGCTGGATTAGCCAGTTAGCAAACATAGTCAGTTTGATTTGTTTTAGTCCAAAATCTCTCAACTGCCTTGATGGATAATTCATTGGATGAATAATTAATTGTCTATTTCTTAAAATATTTAAATATTATTTAAATATATATGTGATTTTGTGTAAATATTTGTTATGTAGTGTTCATTTTGTGTACATATTATTTGTTATCATTGTATTGTTTATATTGTCAATATGTTCTGCTCTGTACATATACTATCGTTCAATAGTTTGGGGTTAGTATGATTTTTTTTCCCTAATGTTTTTGAAAAAAGTCTTTCATGCTCACCAGGCAAATTTATTTGTACAAAAATACAGTAAAACAGTAATATTGCATTTTTTTACCATTTAAAATAACTCTTCTGTTTTTATATTTTAAAATATAATTTGTTCCTGTGATGTCAAAGCTGAATTTTCACCTTTCGGTTTCACATGATCCTTCAGAAATCATTATAATATGCTAATTTGATGCTCAAGAAACTATTATTATTATTATTAATGTCAAAAACATTTGTGTTGCTTAATATTTTTGTAGAAACTGTGATACATTCATTTAATGCACCATTGCTAAATATATATATTTTTTTAATTATTAAATATTATTTTTAATTTATTTAAAGTCTTACTGACCCAAAACTTTTGAAAGGTAGTGTGTATATAGAGGTGACTTCCTTTGTTCAGTGCACATTTTGTGTGAAGGTCATGCTATTCTTTTGCCCAGCATTTTCTTGTACAACCTGCAAAATTGCTTCTTGTCAGAAATGTTCCCTGAAAAAGTAATGTGTGCCCCCCCCCCATTACTTTACTTTCTGTTTTACCTCTCATTCAGGTGTCCGTTGGAGGTCAGAATGCAGAGGGAATGGGACCTAGTAAAAAAGTGGCCAAGCGAAATGCAGCCGAGAAGATGCTGGAGCTTCTGGGCTTCAAAGTGCCTCAGCCACAACCACCCAAACCGGCTCTGAAAACGGATGAGAAGGTGAATGCCTGCTTATTAACAGCATTTACACTTTGTATTGAAAACATGTTGGAAGCAGTTACAGGAGTTTTAAAACTGGGGTCCAGGGCTGTAAGGGACTGATAAGTGGGTTCGTGAAATATTTTAAAAGGAAAAAAAATATTTTACAAATTTGTTTTTAGGGCTGTCAAAGTTAAGGTGTGCACTTAATATATATTAATGCAACATGTTTAATGTAATGTGTGTGTGTTTTTTTTTAATCAGGGTGTCCGCGGGTCCTTAAAATGTCTTAAATAACGTTTTCCTAATATAAGGCCTTAAAAAGTGTCTTAAAATGTCTTAAATTCGGATTCGATGGGTCTTAAATATTTTTGATCTCATTACCGCTAAAATATCTTCAGTCTGACGGACCTAATGACTTTATAAATTGTAATAATTTGACATGAAATATGATGCATACATCTAAAAAGGTAAAAAAAAAAAGGCCTTCGTAAAGGTAAATATGCAGATTTAAGTATGTAAAAGCTGATATACATTTACCAAATTTGATTAATATTACTATTTCAGAGCTGTCAAAGTTAAGTTGTGTACTTATTAATGCAACACGTTTAATGTAATGTGTGTGTGTGTTTTTTTTTATACATTCACAAAATTTGATATGACTATTTCAGCTTTGTAAATAAGGGTCAGATTTTTATTTATTTAATTTTTTTGTATTGTTTTGTTTACACAACTAGTTTTTAACAATGAGCAAATAAAACAATATGAATATAGTTTAGTGTAAAAAAAAAAAAAAAAAAAAGGTATAAGAAAAATATTTAGTATAACAATATAAAAGCCAAGTATTTAATTTGGAAAATAATAAATAACCTTTGTTGTCTTTTATAACGTTGCACCTGATAATTTTATCACCCAGCAGAAATCATTTTCTAAAAAAATTTAAAATATTTTATTCCTATCTATTTTTGGAAGGGGATCCCTCATAAGGGGAACGTCATATTTTGTACACTTTGGCATCAAAAAGTTCACCAAAAAAGGAACATTTACTAATTTTCATGTTGTTCCAAATCTTCCAAGATGCATTCCAAGAATCATTTGCATTTGTAAACAGTTATAAACCTGTTTACCTTTGTAAAGGCACCTGCTAAGAAACCTGGAGATGGACGTAAAGTGACCTTCTTTGAGCCGGGCTCTGTGGAGAAGGCTGGTCTTGGTATGTGTTTTGTAGTCAGTTTTCATATTCTGTCATAAATATCATGTTCATGTGAATGTTGTCATATGCAATTGATTCATGTATTTCTCAAAGCAGTCAATAAGGAGGAGGATTTCAGAGTTCCCTTCCTTAGCCATCAGCAGCTTCCTGCTGGCATTTTACCCATGGTGCCTGAGGTGGCACAGGCAGTGGGTGCCAACCAGGGACCCCATGCCAAAGACTACGGTCGCACAGCTGCCCCCAACCCAGCCAACGCCATAGTAACGGCCATGATTGCCAATGAGCTGCTGTACGCCGGGACGTCCCCGACCGCGGAGGGTATACTGAAGACCAACAACAGCTTGGCACACAGACCCCACGGACCCCTTACCAAACCATCTGAACAGCTCAGCTACTTGGCCATTGTACAGGGCTTACAGGTATTGAATCTAACAGTGAACACACACTTATCCACCCCAGTGATGTTGCTCAACCAATCGGTACCTTTTGTTTTTTGTACAGGTTGAATACAAAGACTTTCCCAAAAACAACAAGAATGAGTTTGTGTCTCTGATCAACTGCTCCTCTCAGCCCCCTCTCATCAGCCATGGCATCGGCAAGGATGTGGAGTCCTGCCATGACATGGTAAGTTGTATGTTAATAATAATAATAATAATAATACTAACACAGTTATCGTGTCATACTATATATATTTTTCTCAAAAAAAAAAAAAAAATTCAGCAAGGATGCATTAAATAGATCAAAGGTGACAGATAAGACTAAAATATCAAAGACAATGTTTAATATACCTTCGACTCGATTCGTCTGAAAGAAGAAAGTCATATCCACCTAGGATGACTTGAGGGTGAGTAATTCATGGGCTAATTTTCATTTTTGGGTGAACTAACCCTTTAATAAAAAGAAACATTTAAAATAAATGTTGTTCTTTTGAACTTTGTTCATCAAAGAATCCTAAAAAACTGTTTCTCTGTTTTCACAAAAATATTAGGCAGTTTTAAACATTGATATTAATAAGAAATGTTTCTTCTGAAGAATCTTGTGCAGAGTTATTTTAGTGTCATTGAGATACTATAATAGATTTTATTACATTTTTGAATTCAGTTTTATTTTTATATTTTCTGCTTTCATGTTAATTTTAGTTGTTTTTTTTGCGTGTACATTTTTGACATGTTCATTAGTTTTTGTTGTTTTTAAATGTCTTAGTTTTTATTTTTCAGTTTTAGTCATTTTAGTAAATCGAGTTAAACTAAATGAAAATGAGTAATGTTGCCTTGGAAACTGAGTTTAAGTGTTTTATATTTCAGTTAACATTTATTACAATTAGCAGAATTTTTTATGGTTTTAGTTAACTAAAAATCCTGATTGTGAAGACTGGAGTAATGGCTTCTGAAAATTCAACTTTGTCTTCACAGGAATAAATTAAATGTTAAAATATATTAAAATAGAAGATAGATTTTAAATTACAGTAACATTGTGAAATGTTACTGTAATTTAAAATCTGTTTTGTATGTGTATATCTATGATATAATATCTATAATAAAAAAAAAATTATAATTAAAATTCAGCTTTCCCACCACAGGAAAAAATATAATTTAAAGTACAGTGGTGGCCAAAATTATTAGAACACTAGTATTTTCACCAGCTAAAAAATGGTTGAAGCCAGGTATTTATATTTTTTGCTGTAGTGTGTGTCAGTAGGAAATATCATTAATTGTAATAATCCAGTGAGATTTTTGTTTGCACAAGGAGTCTGACAGCAGCCAGTGCTCCACACAGAGATCTGATCTCATCATCATCATCATCATCCAGTCTGTCTAGAATGACATGAAGAAACCGAACAAACTGAGACAGACTAAATCCAGAAGAACTGTGGCAATGTATCCAAGATGCTTGAAGAAACCTACCCGCAAAACTACAGCACTGTTAAAAGTCATAGGCACTTGTGTAAAAATGCTGTAAATGGATTACAGGATGCTGTCAAAAATAATGTCATAAATAGATTTTCTTTATAAATTAACTTCTATTAACTAAATTAAATCAACATTTGGTGTGACCATCCTTTGCGTTTAAAGCAGCTTTTGCCCTAGGTGCACTTGTGCATAGTTTTTCAGGTAGCTTTGCAGGTAGGTCTCTTGAAGCATCTTGGAGACGTTGCCACAGTTCTTCTGGATTTAGTCTGTCTCAGTTTGTTCTGTTTCTTCATGTCATTCTAGACTGTGTATGTGTATGTATGTATCAACGACGTGTATCTTGTTTACTGCAATGTATTTTTGTCTCTAAACAGGCTGCTCTGAACATCCTGAAGCTCCTGTCAGAACTTGACCAGCAGTCCAATGAGCGCACAGCTAATGGACCAATGACAGGGTCAGTCTTAAATGTTAAAAAGGCTCTTATTAATTTTTACAGTATGTTACCATACATGGACTTTGTAGGTGCCTTTCAAAGTCATTTAAAATTTTTAGTTTAAGTGGCAGTTATTTAAAGTACATAGCTAAAGATAGAGCTGATAAGAGTCCAGTAACTGCATACATTGCAATTCATTTCTCACGTGTCTCCCTCTATAGGTGCAACAAACAAGACCTCAAGGGCGATGCATTATTAAAACCGGCTAACTCAAGCACCATCGGAAAGACTCTGGACGGCACAGTATAGAATTGACTCTTCGATTGGTCGTTTTATTTGCGAAACACTAGAGAAAAGTCAGAAGCAGAGTTTTGATTGGCTGCTCAAAAAGGCCTTTTGAGTAATTCTTAATAGATCTTAGATTTAAAAAAGTTACAACAGTTAAACAAGGTCAAGAGATGTGGATGATGTTAAATCGTTCACACGCAGTGATACATTTTTAAACTCTAAGGCTTTGGAAAAGTCGCCTCATCATATCCAGTGAAGTGGTGGTTTTGTTTTCGTCGTTAAATTGTAAAATGATTATCGTGAAGTTTGACTTGAGTAGATTGGCTTTTCTTTGTTGCTCCAAGGACGTCATGTTTTCAGTGTCATGATTTTTTGTTCTCGCTTTTATTTTTCGTTTATTTTTAATGCTGTATTATAGGAACCCAGCGAGTTGGGTTGTGTTAGCGCTGTTGTGAAGTGCAGTATAAAACATCATTGAAGGATATGATGAAGCTCTCAAATACGTCTATGCTGTGGCGGTTTTTCTCCAGTGCTTTTTGAGTTACAATGACGACCATAACACTCACACAAAAAAAGTTTAAATTTCGTCTACATTTTCATGTAGGTCTGGAAAAATGTTGTTGTGACTTCAGTGTTGAGTGTGTGGTGGTGTTTTTTGTTGTGTATGGAAGCGAGTGAGTGAATGTTTGTTTCAAGCACGATAATCTTCAGTCATGTCAATTAAACTGATGCATTCTCCTATCAGTGTTGACCCCGCCCATCTCTCTACCAGTTGCATTTTGTTTTCCTCATGGAATAGTAGTAAAAATGATGTGCCTCTTGCACAAATAAAAACATTGTATGTGTGTGTGCTGTAAATACTAATCTCAGGGATTCCACAGTTATGGAAAACCTGTAAATAAGGGAAAATTGACTGAATATAAGGAAAATAGCCTTTTTTTTTTTTATAGTGAATAAGATTTTATTCTAGTAATTTTCTAAAGAAAATAAACTTTTTAATTTAAAATATTACATATTGAAACAAATGTATTATAACAAATAATTATATATATGTATATGTGTGACCCTGGACCACAAAACCAGTCTTAAAGGAACACTCCACTATTTTTGAAAATAGGCTCATTTTCCAACTCCTCTAGAGTTAAACAGTTGAGTTTTACCGTTTTCGAAACCATTCAGCCGCTCTCCCTCCCTGGGGATAGCACTTTTAGCTGTAGCTTAGCATAGATCATTGAATCTGATTAGACCGTTAGCATCTCGCTCAAAAAAGACCAAAGAGTTTCTATATTTTTCCTATTTAAAACTGGACTCTTCTGTAGTTACATCGTGTACTAAGACCGACGGAAAATGAAAAGTTGCGATTTTCTAGGCCGATATGGCCTCTCATTCCGGCGTAATAATCAGCGATTTTCTCAATATTTTGATTTTTTTGCACCCTCAGATTCCAGATCTCAGCCAAATATTGTCCTGTCCTAACAAACCATACATCAATGTAAAGCTTATTTATTCAGCTTTCAGATGATGTATAAATCTCAATTTAAAAAAATGGACCCTTATGACTGGTTTTGTGGTCCAGGGTCACATATATATATAAACGCGTTTGTTTTATGAACTAAGTACAACAAACTCTCCATTTTAATGTAAAGGGAAGCCAAGGACAAAAACATGTACACATATAGGTTAAATTTTATACATATTGGACATATTTATTACACAATATTTAAATATATTTTTAGAAGATACCCATTTCACTTCAAACATTAATTTACCCAAACATCCATAATATAAACTAAGTAACATTAAAAAGAATTTCACACATTAGTTGCTGCAGCTGTTCAAAAAAGACCAGTCAGATCTGTAGCGTTCCAGATGTTTAGGCAGCCTTTATGGCACCATTAGCTGCTCTTTTCTTCCTCATGGTCTTAGTGAATGGGTACATACACTTGTCTAAACCCAGAAAGTGACGCATCACTGCATTGTATTCCCATGGAAACGGACTGCAAAGGCAAGATGTCAGTTAAGTGAAAAACTAATGTGTAGGGCATCAAGGTTTGCTATTATAAAAACAGCAAGAACATGTGTGGTGCCATAAATGAGGCAGAATTATTTACTGTGGTGCCAATGTGAATAGAAATAAGAGTTAAAGGGGTCATAGGATGCTACATGCACTTTTACAAGTTGTTTGAACTGAAATGTGTGTTGGCAGTGTGTGTACACAACCACCCTATAATGATAAAAATCCACCCAGTGTTTTTTTTTTAATCTCGTTAAATGTTTTCCCCTTTCTCAAATCGAGCCGATCTCAGATCTCCCCTCCCACGATAGTTTGATTGACAGAGTAGCGTTTCAGCACAGACTGGACTGGCGTCTTACCTTAGCTCCGCCCTGAGTGAGCTGTCATCAGTCCGCCATTGTTTCACCGCCGGAGCAGATGTAGACAAGAATGACTCCTAAGCGATTGAGGTGTTCTGTTGTTGGATGTAATAATGAACA